CCGTCCTCAGAAAATGCCCGAGTTCTAAATTTCCTTTAGCGGGTTTTAATAAATGCAAATGTCGTTGAAGAAGCAGTAAAACTATCAGTATGCGAGACCTAGATAAAAAAAAATGTTCTGATTTCAGCCACTTGAAATAATAAATATCAGATTTACCGAAGGAGGAATTCATGGTTTGACGACTTAAGCAATGATGCTATGAATATACGACCCGTAAAGCTTACGATAACAAGAAACACGTGGATAAAATGAATGCTATCCTTTGTCTTTTAGGCTGGTTATTTATCTCTTCTCAAAACCATCTAAAACATATTCGTTTTATTAACGTTTTTCTTACTATTTCTTGCCCGCTCTTAGAATGAAATAAAAAGAAGTTTATGGCTTCACTACTAAGCGAGAAGCAATGAATCAATTGTTTTATACATATTTTAAAAAGCCCATAAATTAAATTCCTTTCACGCTATGAAACGAAGATTTACTACCATTGCATGTTAAGGCATCATAGCTATCCTGTTGTTCAGGCTAACTTTAAAAGAAATATATGTATTTAACGCAATTCGCAGTAATGAAGTGATTAATAATCTTATTATCGAATTATTTATATAGTATTTAACTAGTAAATCAAAAGTTAAAGGACAGGAAGATTTGATTTTATGTCTGTCGAAATTCTCTCGTGATTGAGAAAAATTTTAATTTTAATATATGCATGTGCAATAAGAGATTTCATATAGCCGTTATAAGGGTAAACCAAATTAAACTTTTAAAGTAGACATACGATTAAGTCTCTTGCTGAAATTTCAAGAGACATAATTATATTTTAACAATGTGCTTTCTTCATACTCCTTTCATCAACTCTTTCATCTCTTTTCTTATACTTGAGTATTCGCAACTACAACGTAGTTTCTGCATATTTTTCTTATTAAATGATGTAATTAATCAGGTGCTATCTTCTGCTGGCCTTGCTGGAATTTAATTATCTACTAATATATTTTTAATTATAGGAATATTGATTGTGGCTCTTATATAATTCTGGTCTTTAATGCTGATTCTACATGAACATTTTCTATTAGTAGTTTCTCGGTTATTTTCCTTTCCTGCGCCGAGCCTAATTTCTTGCAACCATTTAGAGCTAGCTGACAGCTAATAATATGTTAGGTTATATGAATATGGCAAAGCCACAAGGGCTATCTGACCAAAAGGAGGGATGCCTTCGTAGAAGATGCTTTGAGGCAAACTGGCTCGTGTTCACGATGCACATGGGAAAACCATGGAAACTAATCATGCAACCAGCTCTTTCATCTGGAAACGAACCCAAACCAGTGAAACTACCAATATTCAGTGGTCTCAACCGCTCGGCCAAACATAAAGAGATTGATTGCTTTCTATTCATTAAAGTCACCATTAAAATTGTTTTAAATCAATGACACTAAAGCCCGTGCTTTTTTTTTTTTTTTTTTTCTTTCTTTTTTACTTGTATATCTCGAAAGTCAACGAGAAAAACAAGAATACATAGGAAAATAAATTCAAAAATCTAAATTTCTAACAAAAAAATGAAACCCTTAAAACTAATGGTTTTTTTTTTTTTTTTTTTTTTTTTTTTTTTTTTTTTTTTTTTTTTTTTTTTTGTTTTTTTTTTTTTTTTTTTTTTTTTGTTTTTTTTTTTTTTTTTTTTTTTTTTTTTTTTTTTTTTTTTTGTCAAAAAAATTTTTTTTCTTGCCTTTTTTTTTTTTTTTTTTTCTTTCTTTTTTTTTTTTTTTTTTTTTTTTTTCTTTTTTAATTTGTTTTTTTTTTTTTTTTCCCCCCTTAAAACTTAATGGTTTTAAAAAAGGAAACACTTAAAACTTAATAATTAAAAAAAATTAAAACCTTCAAACTTAATGATTTAAAAAAACAGCGTATCGAGAAAGTAGATTAATATTTCAATTCTTTAGAAAACCTTACAGCCTTAATATTTTCTTACATTTTTTTTCTGAAAGTTGCAACTGAATCAATATTGATAAGTATTCAAAAATTATACCAAATACAGAATTTGAATGTAGTTATCAAACTTTTTTATGGAAATTAATATTTTCAAAGGAATGTGTATTCGATTGAATGAAATATTTTTAACAATTATTAATATAGCAAAACGTCCTTGCTTGTGTAAAACTGTAGAGTCATTAGGTATTTTTTGGAAGCAGGAGTCATGAAAAATCAGCAATGCCCTCGCCGGGAATCAAACCACGGATCTCTGGAATACGCGCCTAGCGTGCAGACCACCACACCACGAAGGCATGCTAAAAGGTAGGAGAAGTACCTTACAAAATGTCCTACGGTATTCACAAAAATACAGTGGCTGAAACCATTCAGTAAAGAATTCCGAGTAATATGTCAGACTTAGTGCGTCTACGAATTTTCTTGAAATTATTCGGATCTTTTCTCACTAAATCTTTCATTAATCGACATAAAATAAGAAACGCAACGAATGTGTTCATTGAGCCATATTTTATTGGTAAATAAGCAAATATTTAATATTAAGATCAAAATTTCTATTATTCCTTCTTAAGGACTTTGCTATATTTAGAATCCACACTATCACTTCTATGAAAAATATATTAATATGAATCAGTATAAATAAATATGTTAAAGTTATTCTTGAGTCTTTTAATTCTTATTTTTAGAATTACTGTAATTTGTTTCCTCTTATCAGACTGATAATTTTTATCTGCTAACTACTTAAAGGAATCTTGAAATTTTCACGCATGGGCTACCAAACTCAAATACTCCTGTAGTAGCAGTATATACGCATTAAGAAATGCACAAACTTCAATATTTGAAAAGGTCATGAATGCATATTTACTATAGGATATTGAAAATTACTAGATTTAGTAAATTAAAAGAAAAAAAATTGTCGTTAAATGAAATAATCTTCTCATCTAACCGTAAAAGAAAGAGAAGAAATTTTCATAGAGTAAAGTGAAAATATTTTCGCATACATGGGAAACGAAAATAGTGGAAGATAAGTGAAGACCGCTGCATTTCTCTCATTCTCTCATTCTTTTCTCACATTAACTTTGATTTTAGGAAGAGCACATTTTCTCTGTCCTGAACTGTAATAGCCACCACTTTCTAGTTATCGAGTATATATTCTAGATTGTGAAATACAGTGAATATTAGAAAGTTATGTGGACAGTAAGTGTTACGATAAGTAATTAAGTATTTGTAATGAAGCATATTTTAATATTTCCATGTAACATTTACATGAAAATAAATGCATGCATATTCGAACATTATGCATAATGTTGAATATTTTCATAAATATATTTAAATTAGTATTTTATAAGATATCCTTTAGAGTGAATAACAGCTTCGAGGCTCCTTAGCATTTATTCAACATTTATTCAGCATTTATTGCATAATCACAGCATAAAACGTGTTAAAAAATTAAAAAGAAGACAGCTCTTTTCGTGATGAAAGATATCCAGCAATCCAGACTGAGTCAACATTGTTTGCTGTGTTTTCACACTGAAGCTTCAAGCGATACTTGGATATATTCCCTTTGAGTATGAAAGTTAGTAGGCATTCATCAAAACTAATACCAGTGGAAATTTTAAGGAGCGGATTCTCTTTATTTGGTTAGATAATCACAGATCTCTCTGTATTTAATTACTTAATCAAAAGATATAAATCACAAAATATGGCATATTAAATAATTACGAGATCAAGCTTTGAGATTATCTAACTATGAAATTCCTAAAACTAGCACCATTCGTTCCAGCGATCAAAAATCCTTAATGGAATATAAAATAACAAAATTGTCACCTTCTTTACGAAGTGGATCCCATGTAAATTCACTTAAATACTAGTCGAAGTGGTGTCGCGCTGTTTCGTGGTGCCTTTTATTGCATCATTTTGTCGAAATTCACAGTCTTTGAAAGTTTCGATTATGCGCATCATTATAAACAGTCTCACTGTTTTGCAAATATTCCAGTCTTTGTTGTACTGGGTACTTACGTACTCTCGCAAACATCTTAGTAGAAGTTGCCAAATTTTCAGAAAGTGACGAATTCTGGCAACTATGCGCATAACCATTCTTCCGACAACCATGCTCATAACAATCGTTTCAGTCAAGCATCGCTTCCATTTTCTTATGCGTTCTATTTTGTTGTACTCCAAATTCCAACGGTTTTAATACAAAAATCATTACATTTTTTGCCTTAACCTTAGTTTAAAATATGAGCTTGTGAATTTCGCTAGCAATGGAAGAAACTACGGACAAGTTTCGACAATAATAGAATAATACAGAATAAAAATTTTCTAAAGAGAACAACGAAGAAATGCCTTTTCTAGAAAGCTGCTCTTGCCGAAGATTGCAGGAAACCGAGTATCCGCAATTCTCTGATGTTTTTCAAGTGAAAACAGATCGCTGTGTACTTCGGGAGAAGAACAACGCCAAAAAAATTACAGAAAGATTCGAAGAAGATTACAAGTGTTTTATTTTTTGGTGTATGACAGAATCCTTATTTAATAATTCTAATTTGTATTTTAAATTGCTAAAATATGTTTTCTTTTCTTGTGTTCATATTGTTTACCAAAATTACTGTAAATATCGATAGTAGGAGATATAATACCTTCTAAAAAAGAAGGCGCAAAAACCACGAACTTGCACATGCTAAGTAACTTTCACATTCTCATCATTAAAGAATCCTCCAATTGGGCGCAGATGGTTGTGATAGTAGTACGTAAGTAACTTGTACTGTAGAGGATAGATCTCAAACTTTTATCACTTTTTTAAATGCAAGGGAAAACAGAGAAATAGCAATGAGTTTATAACTTACTTGCAAAATCAATCCTGGAGTACTGAAGATCAGGGTTACATATAACCAAACGAAATTCTTAGAAGTGTGTTGTGACGTCACGCTTATCCATAATGGCGATAAATTACACTGTCGAGAACGGTCTAAGGTAAAATATGTAAATTTCCTTCAGACATTAATCTAATGACTCCTTTTATTTTTCAGAGATGTTGATTCACATACAGTACGATTCCAGATTTGGGATACAGCTGGACAAGAAACCTATAAATCAATGGTAAGCTTGTTCTTTTGATACATTTAGTTCACTGGATTTGCAGCATAACACAAACTATCATATGAAACGAAAACCCATTCGCGGAGCGGCCTCAACTGTATTCGTCCAAACTCTGGGTCTTATACAATTATAATGCTCGGTCAAACAGCATCACTCATGCAATGGCTCTTTAGTTACACCACGTAGAAAACGCTTTTTATCATTATTATTAAGGAAAGAGCTCTTATGCCTGTTGTATGTGTAATGATCGAATTAAAAAAGGGAAGCCTCACTATCTTCTGTTCTGTGTGGCCGATTGACAAAATTCAAATCTCATTTTGCTTGTCTCAGAAACGCAACTCAGAATATAGATTTTTGTATAATATATTTCTAGCCTATATATTTTTAGACTAAATCCAACTTTTTCTCAACTAAAGTGCAGTTCTTTTCATATTTATTTTCTACACCAGAAATTTACCTAGATATCAGATTTTATAAAACTCGAAAGAATTGTTCTGCATTTATATGCACTTGAAATTTGACGCCGTTTATCACTTGGCGCCTTGGCGCTAAAAAAATAATCGCACTTGGTGAACTAAAGATTTGCATTAACCATATCACGAGATGACTTCATCGAAGCTTTAAACTTTGTATTTAAAATACAAAATAAATAAGCCAATGTTCTGTTATTTTCCAAAAGTACTAAATTTTTATCTACGTATTTAAAAAAAACTAGGTGTTAAAGAATATTTAGAGGAATTTAAAAAAAGATTCCTTTGAAATTTCATTCATTTGCAAATAAAATCTGGTATACAGTATCATTTTCCATACCTAAATTTAAATTTAATATCCGATTAAGGGAAACATTCTTGGCAAGTCCTTGTATCCGATTAAGGGAAACATTCTTGGTAGTCCAATTTCACCTCTAGCTTCGCAATACGAATGCCCCGTCTGTTCCTCTTAATCTTTACCTCGTATCCCGAAAACCAACAAAATAGATCCGACGTTCTATTCCATTATTCCATGCACCCTTATTCAGGTGTCACGCCTGCTTTGAGCACTCTAATTTCTTAAAATAAACTTGTCGGTCACCCAACACAATCGGTGAAAATCATAAAATATTTTTTTTAAAAGCCCGGCTGGCTGTTCAGAACAGGCGGTACTTATCAGAGAAGATAACCATAAAAAATACTACGCTAAATTATACTCTAAACAAATAGAAATAATTATGAAATTCATAATTTTTTAATATTATTGCTTGAAGTTTTGTTAAGTTAATAATTACAAATATCCTCATTATTTCTGCGCTATTTAAAATAAAATAAGGTTATATGTAAGACAACACTAAGTAGAGTATATGGATATCTCAAGGCAATCAATCAATTAAGTTCAAATTAACGAATAATCAACTTAAATTAACAAATTAAATTCAGTTTTAGAAGTTCCGGCATTTTTTTTTTCAAACTTAAAATAGAATAAAGAGACGATAGATAAATTATAAAAACTTTATGCATTGTCAATGAAAGTATATATACATTAATCAAAACAGCTTTACTTGCATTTATACCGATATTTTAAAAAGTAATAAATTAATAAATAAACGCATCCTATTGAACTTCTGAGGCATTCATATCTAATCAAGAAACTAAAACAGAGTTTGTTGAGGTGCAACAACATATTACGAAAATCGATACTTTACATGTCACATAAGTCTAAATACAGGGAGAGAAATACCTCATTTACTCCCTTGAAATGAATTAAAAATTAAAGTTAGTACCGTGTGGGTCCAGCTTTTATATCTATCACTGCCCGTAATCTGTTCTGCCATCGAAAGATCCAGACTTGTTTGTCGTTATCTGGTGCAATTTCAGACCATGCTCATTCAATCACTGCCATCAGAATTTCTTTGCTTGTAATAATTTCCGATTCCCCGAACAAGTTCAACCCACATATTTTCTATATCTTTAGGGTTCACGTCTGGCGACCAGAGTGGTGAATATAGTTAGTTAACTATGTACTTTATAAAGGAGCCATTCCCTAATAATCTTAGTATTATATTTTGAGTCATTGTCTTGTTGAAAGGCCCAGCTGTTTCCGAGTCTTTTCAACAGATGATTGCAGAGTATTTTACAATACTTTTTGATACATGAATCGATATAAAGTGTAATTTATGAAAACTAATTTATCTGCTTTAATCGCTGCGATTCAGACCCAAACGATTAATCACACTCTCTCCACCATGACTAACGTTTGGTTTATTAAATTTTCTAGTTTAATTCCATCCTTTTTCCGTCACCAGGTCTTTCTACGCCAAATCTTTCTTCGAAAAGCATTGAACATACTTTCATCAGTAAATAGCACTATTTTCCAAAAATTGAGTATATGAGCAGTACGACAGTTAATATAATTTAATAGTTTTAACTCAAGTAGTGTTTGGTAAGCCTCTATTTTAACGAGTGTGTATAGACTTTTGTGACTGTATGTATATTATCAATTTAAATAAAATTTAGATAGACTTTTATGACTGTATGTATATTATCAATTTAAATAAAATTTTAAATAATAGTCAGACATAGAGACATGTGGTCAGTAAACTGAGGCAAAATTTTATTATAACCATTTAGACTCAAGAAGCAGAGTTTGAAATTTATTAGTTGATTACCGTTGAATATAAATTTTTAGGATTAAGAACAGTATTTGGCTTTCAGCAATCAATTCTACGACCATCACCACCGAATGTACTAAGTTTGTTTTTATATCTGAAAAGTTTTTCTGCAAAATTTTGATGTCTTATTGATGCGATTTAGTAAATTCTAAACGCTGCCTGTGATTTTGTTCTTTTTTGATATTCTACTTTTAAAACCACATTTTTTCATCATATTTCACACGGTTTGGACACCAATGGGCCTACCAATGGTTGCAAAGGTTTCTACATCAAGTTTAGCACGCCTTCTCTCTTACGGATACAAAAGGATTTGATTCAGCAGTTTCCTTTTTGCACGTGGGATCAGAATGTCTTTTCTTCTTCTACTACTTTTACTTTCGAACAATCCCCTTTTTTTATCTGCTTTTTATTTATTCTGTAGACACACATGTGACTTTTTTCTATAAGTTTAGCTATTTCACAATGAGACTTACCAATCTTTGATAAACTTAAAACAAACTTTCTGACATCGTTACTGGTTTCTCTTCAAGGTTTCATATTATCTTTTAACATCATAGATTGAAGTATAACAAACATGCTATGTCGAAGAAATAACAATAGTTGTTCAAACGATGATAAGAATTTGTGGCTAAGTCAGTATGCTTTTAGAAAGTAAGGGTGGTTAAGCCCATTTTCTCAGAGATATATTCTCATTTTTTAATCGTAAAATTTGTATAACCTTCTCGAATTACAACATTTTATTCCTTTATGTTTCCTTTTATGCGTACAGACAATTTAGTCCGCATTCTTATGCATGTATATAGTTCGCTTTTTACATATTTAAATGTATTTAGCTTGGCATAAAAGAAGTCGAACGAGAGAAAAATAAAGGCATGCTATTATAATAAAAATGAAATATAAAATAGAGCATGGTTTCTGGATTCGGAGTTATTACAGCTTTTAAACTTAATGCCATATCTGAATTTCTTGTAAAGCATTTTCAGTGTTTAAATGTCATATTTGGAAAGCTTTGAATGAAAAGATTCTATTTTTAAATATGCTTTCAAAAGCGCCCACCAGCGGCCGAGCGGTAAAGTTGCTGAACACTGGTTTCGGTCCGAGGTTCCAATTCCGCGAACGGGCTGGCTGCATGGGTGTTTTCGTAGTTTTCCCCATGTGTAACGTGTATACGAGCCAGTTTCCCTTAGAAAGTCCTCCACGAAGGCATCCCTCCCCTTAGGCAGATAGCCCTCGTGGCTTTGCCATAATCACACAGACACACACAATATGCTTTCAAAAGTATCTATTTTAAGATGATATGCAAAGTTTCGTACGTTATAATACGAAACGAGTTTTTGGAAAATTTTTTTAAAATATATTTTAACATTTAAGTTTTCGAGAAAAGTAAAATATTTTGAACTTTGTTTGTCTTACGTCTAAAACTCAGATTATGCTAAAAGGAGCAAAAAATTTAAGTAAAAAAGCGGCACTATCAAATATAAACTAAATTTAATTATCATTACGGAGCAACAATTTTGAGTATTATTTTAGAAATCATTTATCGAGTGCAAGTTGGGAATTTTCGAGAATTTTTTTAAACATTTCTAAACTGTCGATATTAATAGTATGTTAGCAAAGATTATCTATACATCAAAAGAAAAAATCCTTTTAAAATATAAATTGTAATTATTAGTTAAGGGTTATATGATATATTAAAAAATAAAACACTCATCTTTTTTAGCAAAATTCTTCATTAATTTTAGTGCTACTCTTTCTATGTATACAGCGATCTGTTTTCGCTTAAAAAACACCAGAGTATTGAACAAATTCGATACTGTACATCTGCAGTCTACCAATCTCATCTTATCATTGTTTCCTTTAGCGCTTTTGCGGCAAAATATAGTATTTTTGCAGAACTTTTATCGCGGTTTCTTCCATTGCTTGCAGATTTCACAAGCAATGTTTTAAAACTGAGTTAAAAGGCAAAAAATATCACGGTTTGTCTTTAAAAACCATTGGTACTTGGAATACAACAAAAAGTACGAAACTGGCGAGGTTGTTTGATTAAAGGATTGTTATGAGCAGGGTTGCCTGAGAATGCATATGCGTATGGTTGCCATTTTTCCACATTCAGAAAATTTAGCGACTTCTACCAAGGTGGTTGCGATAATACGTAAGTACCAATTAACTATTCCCTTTTTTTCTTTGTCCACTGCGAATGTCCGTACTTTTAACTGAAATAATAATCACGATTTTTGTTTTCACGATTATTGGCAAATTGTAAAAAACTGTGATTGAATGGCTTTCGAATTCTAGAAAATACAGTAAATGGAGAAATGGCTATTAGATTTTCGAACGGGGCATTATACTAATAACACAAATGCTGCTTATCGGAAATTGTTTGATAAAATGTGTGGTATATGTCTAACTTCATGCTTCTAAGCGAAGAGGAAAAAAAGAGATATAAATTATCAGATTTTTTTTTTTTAAATGAAGTTTGCTTATGTCACATCATGCTTATTTTATGATTAAAAATTCTTAATTATATTATTCCATCGATTAGGCAATTTCTCTCTTCAAAGCATCTGTCATTGAAAGTAGAATTTATTTGCTTTGATATTTTCCACGAATCTTGAAAACTACATAGAGAATATAATTAATTTTCTTCTAAGTAAAGTTTATTATTACTACTGACATTGATCTTAGTGATATTTAATTTAATCAGTATAAAATCATATATTTTTATTCGATAACTAATTGTTATAACTGCTTACGCTCATGTTGAACTGTTGTATTTTGAAAAAGCAGCTGTTTTGAAAAGGAATTCGTAAAGATATAATACGTATAATAATAAACTAATTACAGAATTCGAAAATATGGCAGAAACATTCCAACTTGAATATCAAAATTAAACAAAAATTTAATACTAGACTGGCTTTTGCTTTCAGTTAAAAACGATAGGCTCCGTATTCTCAATCTGACTGGCTTTTGCTTTCAAGTAAAAACGATAGGCTCCGTATTTTCTTTGGCAATGTATATAGTCTTCCTATTTGAAATCATTATCACTCGAAAGTTAAATTTTTCTTAGTTTTAAATCAGCATTAATTTCTAAACGTTTTAGTTACGTCTTGTATTCTCACATAGATAGAATTCTAATAACTCTTTTGTAGGAATATAATTCTAGCAATATTTCTTTTACATGATTAGCATTATGTTGATAGCAGTAGTTACAGTTTTGATGAACACGGAATCAATTTCTTTGTCACATGACTGGCTGTCTAATTCAGATTCAGTGGGCTATTGTATGGATTAATATAAAGAAGAAATGTATGTAAATGTTAATTTGTTTTAAATTACCATTCGCTTCTGTGGACTTTTCGATGAGTGCCTTTGTATTTTAATTCTATCTTAGTAATATAATGTAATGCAAAATTCAAGAAAAATTAAAAGAAATTCTCATATTAACTGCCTCAGAGATTTTCATCTTAATAGTCAGAAATTATTCTCTTTTAGTCACTTGGTTAATTTAAAACCGTGTTGAAATATAATGAACAATACAACATGCAGTTATTAGAAATTTTATTTTAAAAAAATATCATTTTCCGAAAGCGATTTTTCGATAGATAAAAAAAGTTTAATCATCAGCATTTTAGCCCATGAAAGCTAAAAAGAAAATTTTTTGCGAATACGGTAAACATACTCCGTAAAACAAAATTATCAAACATGCTATCGAGTAAGATAATAAAATGATGCAAAAATTATTTTGATACATGACTTTAAAATTGACAAAATACGCACAACACAGAGATAACACGTTTCATTTCTACAAAGCGTAGACCTAATCTGTCCTAAATTATATAATCCTCTTCCCCACCCCTTTTTCTGTTTCCGTTTCATTTCGTATGCAGTTGGTTTTTTATTATCATTGAAGAGCATGTTCAAGTACTCATGTTTAAGTACAATATTTAAAGATATAGGCCTCTTGCAAACATAATGCAGTTAAGTAGAAGGGAATATTATGCAGTTAACTCAGTTACTAGACCACTCCACCATAATAAAGAATCGTAAGTTTGTATTGCGTATCAGATGTCTTTAGATAACGGGCTTATCGGAAAGCACCGTTAGGTTGTGCAATATTTATTAAGGGGGTCTTGACCTCCTTAATAAATATGGTCTGCATATTGTTTCTAAATTATACGACAACCTATTTATAATAAAGATTTTATATAGGAGTGTATGTAACTGAAAAATCTGGTTTCGGAGATTTTAAGAATATTACGAGAGTCCAAATAAAGTTGCACTTTACCAAGAATTTGAAGAACTTCACGCTTCATCAGTTGAAGATGCTACCTCTGAAAATGAACGATACATTTGAACGTGAAGTAACATTCTTCGTCAAATAATGACAAATGATGGTAAAAAAGAAAAAAAATCACTTGAAGCCTCAATCACGTAGCACTGGGGATAGAAACGCAGGAAACTGGGGGTAAAATTCTAGAGTAATGTAAGAAACGATTTAAAGAAATCGAAATAAAAGTTCCAAAGTGTTCAAAATAAAATTAAGCTGTTAATATATTAAAGCCTTTTTATTTTAAAGGAAGGGGAAATTTTTAAAGGAAATAGCTCGTATTCACGTTATGCAAGGGGAAAAACACGAAAACTTCCTCGCGGCAAGCAAGTTCTTTAAACCCATTTTAAACTAGCTGTGTTCAGCAGGTTTTACTGCCCAGCCGCTGATGATCTTGCATTTTTTAAACTTTTTAAATTCGATTCAATTCTCTAACTGCAGTTTTAAAACAAATTACTACTTTGATAGTTTTTTTTAATTTCATTTCATTAGCGCTATACATTGAATCTGTAATCAGCGTACTTATTATTTCATAAAGTAATTAGTGCTTCCGAAGTTCGAATCCCCGTGAACGGGCTGTCTGCATGGGCGTTTTCGTGGTTTTCCTCATGTGTCAAGCGTATACGAGCCGTTTTCCTTTAGAAAGTCCTCCACGAAGGCATTCCTCCACTTAGGAAGACAGCGGGCGAGGCTTTGCCATAACCACATAGATCAATGAACCAATCGATTGCAGGCGAAAAGGCTAGTTGCCTGGGTGTTTCGTCACGTGTAACGTGCATTCGTGTCAACTTAGTCCACGAACGCATCGCTTCCCTTAGGCAGATAACCCTTGCGTGCTTTGCCGTAATCAAATAAACTCATCCTGAACAAAAACCAACTCATTCTGAAGAAATCTTCCACGGAGGCATCCCTCTCTTTAGAAAATTAGTTGTAGTTTGCTTTCCGTATTCAGTTTAACGAGAGGGAAAACAGCTATTTGAGTGACAATATTTCAACAGCAATTGCTTAGTGTGCGTGCTAAGTACAATCCATTAAATATGGTTAACTGAATGTGAGTGTCCTCACGTGACCCGAATATATATTGTTTCATAACGGCTGTTTACTAAACCACTCATCTCTAATCAGAAATAAGACTGCTCGTGACTGCAGCCAGCAGCAGCTGCTCCTGAGTACCCTTACAGAACGGAATATTTAATAGATTTGAAAATTTTCTTAAGGTTAGGTTATTTAAATATGCCAAAGAATATAAGGGCTATCTACTTAAGGGAGATATGCTTTCGTGGAGGACTTTTTAAGAGAAATTGGCTCGTATTTTCGCTACACACGAGGAAATTTTTAACCGTGCAGCCAGCCCGCTTGCCTGTGTTTGAACCCAAGACGAACTACCAGTATTTAGCCTTCTTTAACAGCTCGGTCGCTGGTAGGATGAATATTCTCTCAAAAATTGGTGTTAGGAAAAGAGAGGAAGAACTCTCCGATTCCATCCCAAAAGTTACTTTTATCAAAAATGGGATGGAGCTTAAGCAGATAGTCTTAGTATGTTTTATGACGAGCGAAGCTTACTCAGGTTGATAAAAAAAGGGGCCTTTATAAGTATTTTGATGGTATCTAAAAAAACATTCAAGACGTCTGAATGATTTATGTGCACTCAAAAAATAGTTATTTTTATGGTATTTTAAATGCAGTTGCATTATCTTTAGTTAAAGCTACTTTCCTATCTCTCCTAATTTCAGCTTACAATTTCCCGCCAGAATGTGTTTTTTTAAGAATGGCGGTTAATGCAAATGACTAAGAGAGGTGTTTAAGTAGAAGTTCCACTGACTTCGTTAGAGCTAGAGATTCTGACTAGAGCGCGTTTGCCATTTGGCTACACTCTCTCTAAGCTGTTACTACGGTCGGACTTATTTCAAGCCCTTGATAGCTTCGTCAGATTAGTTGATATTTAGTGGCCAACTACTTAGAAATTTGATAGCTTCGGCTATATATTTTTAGTTAAGCATTAGTTAAGTTTTATTTCTTAGTACTCTTGAGTTCAAGCCCAAGTGGAGGCTTTTCTGTACGCTCTAAGAAAGGGGCCGACTGTGAAATTCTTATTTTGAGAAATAAAGGGTAATTAACCCTTCTTGAGTTTACGTTTCTGTTTCTGAACTAAAGCGATTATTCGCTTACCAGTTCACAAGGTTCTTATACAGCTAGTAGAAAAAAGGTTGGAACTCCCCCCCCCACAGTTAATTTGAAATCTGAATTTAAAATTTTCAGCCATTACAAGTAAACAAAGCACTGCATGGGGCATTAAATATGGAGCTATTTTTATCTAAAGCATTTTTAAATTATAGTTTCAAAAGTTCAATTCTGAGGGAAGTACCCGTTCATATTAGGAACTAGTTCGATTAAGAAATTAACTTGCATTTACGATACACATGAATAAAACGATCGTATCACGAAGCCAAACGCTTTCTCCTATTAAGTTGAATTGTAAAAAAAGCAGATTCTCCTGTTTCATGTTAAGTAGAAAACATCCATTTTCTCGTTTTGCATGCCTCATTTCCTCATAGTAACCTATTCACAGAACGAGAGGTTCTCGCGTTCAAATCCTAACCTAATTCTATTTTGATTTAGTTTTTTTCTGGACAGATGTTTTTTGCTTGCAAATAAGAGAGTCGTGGCTTTATTTATGTTATGAATGAGTGCAAAAATAAAATAATTGTTTACTTTTATAAACATTAAACATAAGTTTCACGTCACAAAAAAATAATTTTAAATCCTGTTTGTTTTCAGCTACCAATGTATTATAGGAAAGCTAATTTAGCAATGGTTGTGTATGATATAACGTGCCAAGATTCTTTCAATAGTATACCCAAATGGATAGAAGGTAAGAATAGTTTATACTAACTTTGTTTCGCAGTTTGATAAATATTGAATAATCATATTTTGCTTGGTACTACCAGTTCATTTGAAACGGCTTGTTTTCAATCAAGTTTAAATAAAAATCAGTAAATGGCCGTTACTGTAGTATGCAAAACGCACCCACTGTGCAGTTTAATTGCTTATTGTTGTGGCTTGAAATGTTTCATGATAAAAAAACAGTGAGCTATCTTTTATTGTCCTTCTTATTTGAATAATTTGCAAATGATTTGCAGGTGAGTACTGAAATTATCTTTATTGTACAAAATGTTAAAAAAGCATTCCAGAATTACAAAGGCAGAATCTACTGCCTTTGTAACACACATGACATATTAGAAAAACCTGTTGCGAATGTAAGTAATGGAATTCGAATTCCTTTAGCTTTTGAATCAAAAATGCTAAATGAAAAAAATTAATTGAGTTATTAAATATAAAAGTTTCAGTACTATTATACACGCATTGACAACACGTTTAAGCCTCTGAAATGAAGCAATTTTTTGGCTTAGACACTCAGATTTCTTATACTTTCTCATGAAAAATAACTTATATTCCTTGTAACATGAGCTTTCTTTCATATTATTTCAGAGATTCCATCAGATTTTATTTCAAAATGTGTATTAAAGGTTTTATTGATTTTAATTTGAGAGGGAAAAGAAACAAATAATATTTAAGCGCGTGGGTTGGCCTTGTTATCTAAAACTAAGCTTCAGAAATAGCAATAGTACTCTTCATTTTTCTAAGCTTCACTAGGCAGATAATTTTACTGTGCTTTGCTGAAATTAAATAGTTCAGTCTAATCTATATTATCTGTCAATGAAAAACTTTAAATTTTTCCAGAATATTAAAAAATCTCCTAGCAGCATTATGCATAGTCTTTATTCTTTTAATAGCATCCTTAATTTTAAAAAATCGTTTACAAAATATAAGTTTTACTCTTCTTACTAAACTACAGCAACATCATGCATAATTACCGAAGTCTGCTGTGCATTGTCATTGTACTTATAATTCTAATTTTTCGTCTTACGACTAAAAATGTTTTTATAATTTTTCATAATTGTGAATATAATCCTTTATTATTAATGTACATTTAGAATAATTTTTTTTAAATACACACCATATTTACAAAAATAATTATGAGCCCTTCCTTTTCGTAATCATAGATCGTAAACATTGGTTTTAAAGCATTTATAGAAATGCTTTAAAATAAAGAAAATAATCATATTGTAGCAGTTTCGAAATTTAAAAAAATTATTTCTATAAAAATTACGAAATTTAACCTTTTTACGGTCCGCTGGTCGCAGCAGTTATATTTAGTAAGAGCTTATACTCATTATAAAAACTGAAACACAAAATGTTTATAGAGTTGTCGAGACATTAGGTTATTTTGAATCTAGAAGCGAGATAAATGAGCAATGCCCACTCCGAGACTCGAACCTCGGAACTCTTGAATACGCCCCAAGTGTGCTGACCATTACACCGCGAAAGCATGCTAAGAAAATAATCTATAGAGTCATTATATTTATTTCGGAGCAGAAAGTATGAAAGATCAGCAGTCAATGCTCCGCGACTCAATCAATTCTCATCCGACTGTTAGCCGGACATATCGATACATTCAACTTTACCACGAAGGTACTTGGTAAAGAGAGAGAAAATTCCTTAAAATCTTCACCACTCAAAGTGCGACCGGGAACGAGGACACATAGTTGCCAAATCCTGGTTATGACGAAAGAAGAATAAAACTAAAACCCATTTTAGCTTAGGTTCCACTTGTCCAGCTATTTGAAACTCTTTTGAAGTTGGGACACATGATGCCCTCGTCGAATCACAAACCCCAACCTTTCCATCTGCTAGCGGGACGTGTGTCCAAACACACCACAAAGGCACACGGTTAGAAAGGAAAAAAATTCTTTACAAGTTTTACTTTCGTACGGCAAAACCGACCGAGACATTTCATTTTAAAGTTTCAGATCAGATTCTTTGAGTCATTCAGCACTCAAAGAGCAAATATATAGTAAAAATATTTGCACACAGTTGAAAATGAAATATCATTTCACAAAAAGGTTTTTGACTTGAATAGATTAAATTACGAACATTGTTATACAGACTATTGTGAAATAATTTTGCATATATATATATTTAAAATGAAGAATTTTTCGCAGTATTTTAACAACTTTTTGTTCTAGAAACCTTTGACAGGCTTCAATATCAGCTCAAAGTCAATTCGTAATAATAGTTTCTTATATTCAAATTGAAAATGTTTTAGTTTATTGTAATTTTATATTATTATTCAGTAAAAAAGTGCGTAAGAATTTTAGTGGAATTTTTTAGCATTCGAAGACTTATAAATTACTTATGTGAAAATTCTTGCGGCATATCATATGCAACAAATTATGTTACACACTGATAAATAGGAAAATAATATGACTGAATGATATTGAAAGGCAGAAACATCAAGACTGAATTAGTGAATCAAGACTGAATCAAGCTCCATATTTAACCGAATCAGAGGCAAGCCGAAAACCACGTTAAAAATCGCAAATTTCGATATTAAATTTATCGGTGAATTTTTGTCATACAGTGCTGAAACTTTTGGTTTCATTTTTTTATGATGAGTACAGTTACAGATACAGGTAAAAGTACGGGAGACAACAAAAAATAAAATAAAAAAAACCAGCGGTGTAGGTACCATGGGTCAACTGGTAATGTCTTACCATACTAACTTTTTAACAAAATCACAAGCTTCGTACGAGTTTACAAAGAAAGGTTGAGAAAATGAGAAACTAAAGCTTTCCAAAGGATCTAGAGTTTACCTATTATGATACATCGTGTAATCCTACTGTAAACCCCCGCACCCAGGATTAATTAAAAATAATTGGTACTATTCGGTTTTGAGGGCCGTAAAAAATCGCCAAGCTATTGTTGATGTCAGTGCTGCCAAAAATAATTGCGGCAACCCTAATGCAAGAAAGGAAGTATAATAGTAAATAACTACTTAAGATTGATGTTTTAATTTAGACGTTTTAATTTAATAATTAACTAAAGATGTTTTAATTTAATAATTTCAAATAATACTTTTTTATTATTATAAATTATATAAAAAAGGCTAATCATGACTGAATGAGAGTAAATAACTATTTCAGATCATTATTATAATTTATATAAAAATTGCTAAACATAACGGAATGCATGCCTGCATCGCTATTTCGCTACCGAGTTATCGCTAAAGCATAATTTCATCTCGTTGATTGTTCAAACATAATTTTCTATAATGAATGCTGCTTTTCCTTTGAAACAATTCTCGGTAAAGTGCAGAATCGCCCACTTATCTGTTTGCCGCTTTTTACAAGGGTAAAAACAATTGGATTTTTGTCAATTTTCTTTTACTTTTTAAGTGAAAATAGGTCGATGTGAACGTAGATAAAGTCAAGGGTGTGCACAGTGGCATTTTTGTGCAATTCTGGGATTTTTTTTTTAAGTGAAAATAGGTCGATACCGAGTATGGATACAGAGTACGTGCAATTCTTAAAAACGCGTCAAGCAGTGGGGGGGGGGGAGTTTCACTTTACCCAAATTTCTATTGCAGACGTTTCGTCATGGGAAATTCCCAAATTGTTAAATCCATAGGATATCAAAAAAGGATTTAAAAATTAAACTAGTTTTTCAATGGCGTCTTAAGAAATATAGAACTATATAAACTTACGCAATCTGAAATCAGCGCGTACGCTAGATTTGGCGAGCTGTTAAATGGGCGTGTTTGCTAGATTTGGCGCTTTTGCGCATACGTTTTCGCTGCAATTTTTTTACGGCCCTCAAAACGGAATAGTGCCAAATAATTATATAGGAGTAATATAACTATAGAGACCGGTGAACCGTATAAAAATTTACATTTTATGTTTTATTATAAAATTGCCGTTTTTAATTTTAAGATACAAAAAAGAGTATTTGTGTGTTTTAAACCTTTTTGTTATAAACAGAAACATTTGCGTAGTTTAAACCACCTGTTTGTGATACCTGAAAATTATCCTGCTGACCGGCAAGATAGCGCGATTTAGCGCCAATTATAAATGACCCCTACTTTCGAATTTCGCAGTAATGACCTACGATTGACGACCATTGCTGAAATTTCTCCCAGTGATTAGATGAGATAATACGTAAGTATGCTTTTTGCTACTGGCAGCACATGTTTACTGGTAACTGTTGTGAAAATAAAGACGGCATAAGAATGTTATTGAATCGACATACATACATTGCTGGCCTTTAAAATTGCAACACGAGGAAGGAATGATCTGACGAAAGTCAAAATCACATGAAAGGAAGAAGTTGCGATATGCAAATGCTTATTATTTCAGCGCATTTAGATGACGCAGGAGGGAGAAACATCATCTGAAGCACTGCACAAAAGAAAATTTGTGTAGTGGATTTCTCATTCATAAAGTGCTTTGTAAGGTTGGAGTTTGCTCAGAATATCGTGTTATGCCTCGAATAAGAAGAGGAAATGCTTACCAGCAAGTGCCGGAATGTGATATAGGCAGGATCGTTGCCTATCTAGAGTCTGGATTATCACTCCGTGACATCACCCGTCACACTGGTCGACATCTAACCACTGCCATGCGACTGTGGAATCAATGGATTGCTGAAGGTCATACTGAACGGTATGCATGATCTCAACACCCTCCCATGACTGACGCCAGAGAGGACAGGCATAATGTGAGGTCAGCCCTGCAAAACCGTACGACCACATCACGGACCATTAGTCAGGAAATGGGCATGTTTGCAGCAGCACGCCCAGTATCAGCTCGTAAGGTTCGTCGACGTTTGCAGCAGCGTGGATTATCAGCAGGGTGACCATTACTTCGGCTTCCCTTGACAATGCAGCGTAGAGAGAGACGACGACTCTGCTGCGTCAAACACAAAGCCGGGTACAGGAATGGCACATTTTCGCCTTTTCAAACGAATCCCGGTTCTACGTGCAGTATTCTGATGGCCGTATACGTGTCTGGAGTGTCCGAGGAGAGCGCACGTCGCCTGCTTGCATTCGATATCGACATAGGGCTTTGCAAAGAATGATGTATATAGCGGGGGAAAGTGGATGGCTCGACAGAAAATTAGAATTTTATGTTAAGCGGGGAACCCCCACACAAAACATGACGATCATCTGACCCCAAAACGAAACATTACATACCGCCACTCTTTGACTCATCAGCTTGCTCTGGGCTGGCACTACTGCTAACGGGCACCGATGTTCGGGTGCTAAGGGGCAGTGGGATAACATACTTGTTTCAACGAGATGTCTAGAATTGGTTAATGGGCGCTACATATGCGTCTCTAGTGGTCAAGGTCTCAGTGAGATCCATACATATGCTGAGCACAATTGTCAGTCTTTTTTGCTAATGATCTTTCAGGTTCACCAGGAATTGGTCCCGCATGTGTGGGTGCCGTTACGCATACATTACTCCCAACACCATCGGAGTCAGAACTGCAAAGTGGCAAACGGGCGTCAATCATCTGTGACTTCCGGATGATGATAAAGTCTCTATCGAAGATCATGAGTAGTATAATTTGATACCTCTTGCGTCTCCCTACCATACTTCTTATTTCGTCTTCTTGCTTGCATCGCCCAGTACGTTTTCACTTTTACGGAGCATTAATTACTCACCAGTTTATAAGGCCTTTTTTTTTACCTCTGTGTGCAGTAATTTCATTGTTCGTGAGAGTATATAAAATAGATAATTAATCACCATGCGTTTTGTCTGTGCTAAAGTATAAGATTGTTAAGCCTTCTAATATTTCTACTTCTACTTGCAAATATATTATGCATAATGCTTGAATTTTTTTATCATTGTATTCTAGAATTGGAAAAAAATGCAGATAAAGACTGTGTTATCTGCATAATTGGTAATAAATGTGACCTCGAGTATAAAAGAGCAGTTAATCGAGAGAAAGCTGCTCAGTTTGCGAGTTCTATTGGTGCTCTCTATTTTGAGACTTCGGCAAAAACAAATGAAGGTAAGTTCGAGTGCTTTCATTTTGTAAAATATTTACTCTGTTGGGTAATATCCAATGTCTCGATTGAGACGTTAAGCGACTTATCGCTAAGTATAACAGAAACTGAGAAGGGTGTAAAAGTCCCTTTATTTAAAACTGAATAAAATAAACAGGAAAAAGTCGTCGTGCTTTCAGCTCCCACAGCATTTCTGGCGAGGAACTTAAAACAGATCAAATGTAAAGCTTAAATTTAAATAAACTAATAGCCAAAGGCTACACACAATATTTTAACGCGAAGTTATCTCAGAACTTCACCGGCATGAATTGCAACTATCTCCAATAGTAATGCAAGACCGAAGACAGAAACTCTTATCTTAGCAAACCTAGTAATGTGGCCACGAGTAGAAAAATATTCTCAGAGTCTTAAATTTTAATTGTTTTATAATATTTTAAGTTTATAAAAGCTATCATCAAGTTCTTTAAGTTTTCATTGTATATCAATTGCCTTAGGTGTACTTCTAGATTGAAGAAATATGTGGTTATCTATTTCAAAGGCGATGAAGTATGGTAAATTTATTTGTGAAAAGTTTTCAAACACAAATTTTTTTTAAATAATATTAATTTAAAAGGAAATGTTTTTCTGGTACTGTAACCATAATTTTAAGACTTCGAATCTCTTCGCTTTTCAGTTTATAAAGATCTTGCCTTCACTCGGTCTTTTAGCATGACTAAAATGTCTAATTTAATCAACTTGGGAGATTAATCGCTATCAGAGATTCTTAAAACAATAAACATTTCAAATAAATCCAGTAAACAAACTGATATTAACTAAGGTGATAGTGTAACCCCCCCCCTTGCATCTACAACGCATAATAATAGAAGGTTAAAATCAACTATTTCGTGTTGTCAAAAGTGATGTCTAACAGGATGTTGAATGAAGGAATAATAACTGAAATAGTTTAAAGCTGAAGACATGAAGGACTTAATTTAGTCTAACTGAGTTCGACTTAGAAATGCCGTTTATTGCCTTAAGACGGCAATTCTTCTACAACACATATACACTGACGAGCCAAAATATTATGACCATCCCCACGTTTTTTTTTTCAATGAACTCGTGTGGATGACGTGGAGGGCACGTGATTAAGTGAGAATGGTATTTAACTGCTGCTAGAGAACGTAAGAAATTATTCTTGCACTTATTTTTGCGAGTGATAGGAAAGGCTGCTGTTCTAAGCGAATTTGATTGAGAGCAGAATGTAATGGTCCGAAGACTCGGAGCAAGTATCTCTGAAACTATACGACTGGTAAGTTGTGCACGATCTAAGGTGTTAATTAGATCGTGTTATTAGATTGCTGCTGTCAGTATTTATGTAAAGTGGATAAATGACGGTGAAACCAACAGTAGACTTCAAGGTGTTTGACGCAAATGCGTTATGAAGGATGTCAGAGAGTATCCCGCTTGGTACAGCAGAATCGGTGCTAGAAAGTGGCTCAACTGGACAGCCCAATATAATGTAGATCTAAGTGCAAGTCTTTCGGAACACGCAACTCAGCAGCACTGTTGGATATGGGACTGCGCAGCAAATGTTCCCTTTGTGTGCCTCTGTTGGCCAAGCGTTGTAGTCAACTACGCCCACAGTGGGCTCGGGAACATCGCGACTGGACCATGGATAAGTGGAAGACAGTTGTCTATTCAGAAGAATCACGATTTCTTCATTCATTGCGTCGATGGCGTGTCAGGGTACGCGGTCTTCCATGCGAACGATTGCTCCACCCCTGTACAGCAGGTCATATGCGTAGGCCGGTGGTAGCGGTATTATGCTTTAGGGGACATTCTCATGGGCTACTTTGGGCCCCTTAGTTGTGGTAGAACAGATCATGAAAGCTGCGAATTATCTGAGCATAAATGCGGATGTTGCACCTTTATATGGCGTCTGTCTTCCCAAATGGAAATGGAATCTTCCAGCAGGACAACGCCCCATGTTACAAGGCTTGAATTGTGTTGGAGTGGTTTGAGGAGCATAATGTTGAATCCAACTCATCAGATCTTAACTTGATAGAGCACATTTGTAATATGGAGCGCCAGCTCAAAGCTCAAACGCCACCATGTGGAAATATCTCTACTCTGCGTGACCGCTGATTAGACATTTGGCACAATCTGGCTCCAGTCATCTACCAAGAACTTCTGACATTCTTATCAAAGCGAGCTGTAGCTGTTTTGCAGGCCAAAGGTCGCGCAACGCGTTATTGAGTAGGTGGTCCTAATATTTTGGCCCTTCAATGTATATACGCTTGAGGTAGACCGTAAATGTTCCCAAAACCAGACAGGGTAATACAACTTCAATAATAATAGCTGTCTGCTATCCTAACATTAACTGTTCGTCTAGTTCTAGTTACATTTGCGTAGTTTCTAATGTAAATAATGTGAGGTAAGCAGAGAAACAGAAAAAAGATACCGATATATACCATAAAACATTAGTCTAAGCACGAAAGATCTTGAGCTTCCGAACATAACAAATTGTATTTTACCACATGCAGGTTGATTCTTCCACATATTCTCAATTTTAGTTTCATTCGTTTTGGGAGTCTCCTACTTTTAAGACTTCCTTATTTTCTTTTGTATATAAGCCTAGAAGCTAGATTCACATCTGGTCAGCGTCACGTCAGTAACTGACTGAAAATATTTTAGTATTTTAATAAAATTAGAAGTTATTTCATATATGTTACGCTTTTTTAGTAAATTCTTAAATTCACATGTGTTTTATTTATAGGCATAATGGAGGCATTTATACACGTAGCCCGACAAATGGTCAATCTGTATCATCGTCGAGAATCTCTCTCAGCAAGTACAACGAGTAGTAGGACACGATCACTTAGCCTGGAAGATGGTTCTACAAAATCTCAATCGCGGTGCTGTTTTTAACTAAACATCGTAGATATCAGAACAGTTAGCAAAAATGAAATAGGTATTTGTGAGACTTACTCACAAAATAATCAAGCAAGACCGTCAGCATAACAGGTTTGTGAATAAATGAACATATGAATAAATTAACCAGAAGCTTATAAAAGTGGCCAGAAGCTACATTTAGTACTATGCTTTTGTCTTGTTTGAAGATGAACTTTTAGGCTTTCTTTAGTGCAAGATACGTTAAGCATTATAGAATTCAAATGAAGCAGATAGTAAGACTTATTAGTGAATGCTTAACCATTATTCTTTTTATCAATTTTTGTTTGTCCATTTTTGATACAGTATCAAATGCGATTCGGTTGTGAACAAAGTAGAATTTATCTTATTAACTTCGAACAAGCATTTACGGCTCTCAGAACAACTGTTGACAAAAATTATCAACTCAAATAAAACTCAAATACAATATTCAAAGCTAATACAGAACTCAAAACTTACTTATTATATTGATTCTGGGCCAACAGGACCTAAATTATCTGACTAAATCATGGACAAAGAGCTCTCAAATTCTGAAAATTCATTGAAATGTTTTTGCATATTTCATGCTGCATTTATAATTTGAGTTGTACTAGAATAATTTAGTCTTAATACGATTTCGTTGCATGTAACTTTTTTACCTTACAGTAAAATGAGGCTCCAAATACATATTCAGTTTTAATCTAGAGTTATTACCATTTGAAAATTCTCTTAAATAGAAGAAAATGTTAAATTTCCTATGCTAATTTTTAAGACACTTATCATAAATGATTAAGGAAACAAAAATTATAATTTGAACTAAATTTAAAAATCTGCATAAAACCTTGTTTACAATTTAGAATCAATCACCTCTAAGCAAACTCTACCTTCCATTGATATAATAACAAATTTGTTATCACGCAGTCATGATACATTTTGCAATTACATTATTTATTAACAATTACCTATAACAAATAATAGACGGAAAAATCCGATTTACTAATTCTTAAGTAACCAACACTTACATAATTTATATACTTTCTTTCAAAGGTATATTCCATAATCACCGTGCAGCACTTTGAAATTCTTCAAACAGCTGGTTATTATATGATGGTAATTTTATTTAAAAACTAAAATCAATATTTTTCGTTCGTATTCTGCATATTTTTGCAAAGATTATTTATTTTTTCTATTTGAATTCTAAGTAAGATTTTGAGAGCAAGAATGTTTAATTTTACACTGAATTAATCTGTTCTTGTAATGTGTCGCATCCCGTTTTTAATAATATGGATAAAATTTTATCTCTTAGCGCAAGTTCAAACGAAATAATGCTGAATTTTCCAGAATATATCACGAAGTCTGGCTGTGTTACTGTTACAATATTGAGAACTCTTTTTCCAAGGTTAAAGCCTCACTGAATTACCATAAAAACATTCAAAGACGCAACGAATTGATTGCACGCATGTGAGAACTATTTATGAATGTCCTTGCGGCAAACTCATGGAAGAAGGTTATTTGCATGTGTAAGTTTCCATAAATAGCAAACTGTGTTATTGTTTGCGTTGTGCTTAAATGCCTTCTTATCATCAATCATCTGGCTGCTATCCTAGAATGTTGTGTTATTCTATTTTTTCTTTTATACTGCAGTTTCAATAAACTTTTAATATATAATAAAAAAGCTTGCTGTGTATATTCTGTTTACAGTTAGAAATCATTTTAAACTGCCAATATCATACAAGTATCTAAAATTATTTCTGAGTTTTTTTAATTAGTAATCTCTTAATGCGCAGAACACTTTTTAAAATTCCAGTACATTTTGCTGTTTCTTATCATCTTGATTTGAGTCCATGAAGGTGAATCAATCGGCACGTGAATTTAATAATGACCAAGAGGTTATGATGAATTCGTGGAGGTTTGTCTTTGGCCAAGATCTTCGGCACCTTATAGGTGACTAATGGCTTAACCCATTGCCGTCCCGATGATCCCAAAAGCATATGCACTTAAAATCCTGAACGCCTTTTCCCGGATTCGATCCAGGGTCATGGTCTATTACCATTCCGAGAGTGCGGCAATCCAGTACTTATTATATGTATCGAAATATCATAAGGTTCTGAGTAAGATCCTAAGATTTCTGCATCTTATTCAGTACAAATTAATTATGAATCTCTCTGTTCACTAGCATTTGTTCATCGAATTCCAAAACTCGCAGTGTTATATTTACATCCGTTTTTTGCATTTATAGATATAACATATTCTACAGAATATATTTGCTTCTTGAAGAAGAGGAACTGTACCTCTGTCTCTCGAAATCGACAGGGTTTTTCTATAAAATTAATGCCAGTGTAAAATTGATTTCGCCTGACTTTTATAATCAGTATATTACTATTGCTTTTTTTTCAGCAAATATAACTATTAGTGTCATAAAAAAGAAATGTTATTAACATTTAAGTATTAGTGGGTCATATAAACAGTTTGATTAGGTGATATCATGTGCATTTGCTGATATACTGCTTCCAATATTTTATCGCATTTGTTATGTTGGTAGGAAGTATGCTGGAAATATTGTTACTAAAACATCCCAAATGTGATAAAACGCTTCAGTACCTTAAATAAGTGTACTAAAAAACTTTCATTGCCGGTCTGAATTCTCAGCATTGTCTTTATAAAAATAAGATAAGATTAGAAACCAAATGTTATGAGCTCCATCATAATGCTATTGCGAAAAAGGTATGGAAATAATAATTATTAACTGGTCCATTTAATGAGCTGACAATAACAAACTTAGGATACAGGATTGAATCTTATTAAGATAAGTTAGAAAAATAACATGGACGGTCTATTGGTTTCGAAGAATTTTTTGGAAAATCTGTTAATGTTTAAATGAGAAATACATTGTGTGGCAGTACAAAGTTAAGATATTTAAATTAATAGGTAGATGAACATAGACCGATGAAATACAGACAGAAGAAATTTGGTCATTAATAATTTATCAGTAGGTGCTGCGCGTTTTTAAGTATGAAATAAATAAAGCATGTGAACTTTTAAAAAGCTGTATAAATACCGTATAGTTATACGATCTGCAGTACTAAATGAATTTATGTGATAGAATTTATTGTTCAAAAAAATTAATTAAATGTCTAAATTAGCCGCCCATCCGGGATAGTGATTCGCGACGCTGTCTGCCGTACCGAAGGGCCCGCGTATGAATCCCAGAGAAGGCATGGATGTTTGTAAACGTATAGTGTCTGTGTGGCATGGGGGCACTGTAAATATGTGGCGAGCCAAAAGCCCTCTCGAGAGGTTGGCGGTAGGAGAAGAGACGCGAGAGACCCTCGGACCCCTCCCCCCCCTCGAGGCGCTGTCTATCAAAATATTTTGGCGGAACTGAGCAAAGTCGTACTGTAGAGTCATTAGGTATTTTTTGGAAACAGGCAAGATGAAAAATATGCGACGCCTTCGCCGGGAATCGAACCACGAACCTCTCAATTACGCACTGAGCGTGCAGACCACCACACCACGAAGGCATGCCAAGAAGGCGGAAGAAATACCTTATATACTCCCCCTTTTAAAGAGCGACTGGGGTTTCTAAGGGACCCAATCGCTAAATCCTGGTTGTGGAGAGTCATCATCCACCACCCTTTTAGTTCGGGCGCCACTGCAGTCATTAGGTATTTTTGTAGAAGTAGGCAAGATGAAAAATATGCAACGCCTTCGCCGGGAATCGAACCACGAAACTCTCAATTACGCATCGAGCGTGCAGACCACCACACCACGAAGGCATGCCAAAAAGGCGGGAGAAATATCTTATAGTACTCTCGCCTGTATGATCCTCAAGGCTCTTGCTAACGATAGGCGCAGTCTTGCAGTCCTTGCCACGATGAATTTCGTGGGCTTGTGCTGATGTTACTGCCAGACAAGTGCGATAAGTCACAGCAAGAGCAACATGTCTAAATTACGTACCTGGCGACAAACCAAAGCAAATACATTTTTTCGGCCGTAAATTTAAATAATTAGTAATATAACATTCCATGAGCGCGCTTTAATTCGAAATGCTACAATTTGAAATTTCGTTTAGTTAAGAAAAAAAGCTAAAAATCCAAAAAGTCTCAAATTAGATTTAAAAATACCGGTAATTTTAGCTAGTTTTCTGATGATCTCAGATAATTCAAAAATGGAAGTGCTAGAATTTCCTTTTTCGTCATATTATCGTAAAGAGGTTTAGTTTTCAACAGATTATATAATAGTTACGGCATGACTCTGCTATAGACTATCCATACTTTGTATGTAGTAAAATCTGCAACAGTTATCAACTGCACCAATCAAGCTGGATCTATTTGACCTTCAACAATTTAATGGCACATTAAAAATGAAAAACACTTTTGACCTTAAGAGAGCGAATTCGTAGATTATGTCTCAGTTTACAATGTTTCCAAATTCTGTAGCTTCTGTAGCCAGGTAATCAATAAAAATACTATGAAATTTTTTCTTTGAAATGCGCTCTGAGAGGGAAAAAAAATCTCATTTTGAAGATTCGGTCTGCGCTCCTAAAATATATTTATTGCTAATAGACGCGCAGTCGTAGAGCGATATTGTACTTTCTTCTTATTGGACAATCAATTACAATTCTTATTAAAAATCGAAATAAGCCAAAATGTATAACATTAATAATGCTGAACAGACAATGTTTTATGTGGATGGGATGGTTTGGTTTGGTTTATTGAGATTACGGCTAAATTATACACAACCGCTATAGTGGTTAGCGTCGCTGACTGCCATGCCAAAAGGCCCGGGTTCGAATCCCGTAGAAGGCATGGATGTTTGTAAAAGCATTGTGTCCGGTCCGTGCGGCATATGCGGCGAGCCGAAAGTCCTCTCGAGAGGTTGCTGGTAAGGGAAAGAGGGGTGGGAAACCTCGAGCCCGCCCTCACGGGTGCTCTCAATCAAAATTGGGGCGTAACTCAGCTAAACCGCACTGTCACCTGTAAGGTGCTCAAGGCTGTTGCCAACGACATGCGTAAAACTTCCGCTACTTGCCATGAGGAATCTCGTGGGCTATGACTGACTAAGATCAGACAAGTGAGCATTAGCAACAACACAGCAAAACACATTGGGGCTATCTGCCTAAGGGGCGGGATGTTTGCGTGGAGGACGTTCAAAGGGAAACTGGTTCTTACACATGGGGAATATGCAGCCAGCCCGTTCGAACCTCGGACCGAACTACCAAAGTTCAGCGACTTTGCCGCTGAGCGCTGGTAGGCCTGTTTGATGTGGAAATCGATCTTGTAGAACATGTGAAGAACCCATAATTGCAGCGAAAAAACATGTTACACTTCTGTGGAAAGATTTTGATACATTGCAAAACTGTTTCTAGTGAATATTAAATACAACAGAAATTTTCACATATTTACAATAGATTATGTTAATTTATTTTCATAAAGGTCTGAATATAGTTTAGTCTTTGTTGCTAATCTGCTTTCAGTTAGGAATTATTTTGAAAATCCTCCATAACTGAAAGTTTGCCTCATTATACATTAAAAGTAAATAACGCAGATGATTTATGTTTCATAAAGGGGCAAGGCAATAAGTAATGTATAACACGCCTTTTTTATGCAATTTGAGTGTATTGCAAAGCTATGTTAGTGAATCAGTAAAAGATTTTAGTTTTACACAGAGCTGAAAACCACAAACAGCGTTTTGTTTTAAGGGTGTTAAACAAAGAAAGGCCTTGATATGGCATAATAAATCAAAAGTTCTTTAAGTAATTTATTAAAGAATTGGTTTATTCACATTTTTGTACACATTAATGATTCTTACAATAATGCGTACGTAACTGTTATACTATTACGTACTTACAATAAACAATTTTTTACTTCTACAGAAGTAAAAAATTCTACAGTATTTTTTTTTTCAACTACATACATTTGAAATTTCATTTGCTTAATAAATTTATATTTTTTGCTTTAATACATTACAACAAATAAAATACATTCAGTAATATTCAAGAATTCATAAAAATTAACTAATTTTATGCAAAAAAGGCTAATTTCTATGTCTTGAACTTAATGAAAATTTTAAGTACTTTTATTGCTCAGCGTTTGTCATGCATATACAAAACTATATTTAGTAACTAATCAAACTAATGAATACTTTATAACCTTATTTACATTTAAATTTTATATTTTTATAAATGATTAAATCGTTCCAAGGTTTTATAAAATAATACACTCAAAATTATCTAAAACTCTGATGAGGTAAAATTTACTACACTCAAGCTTTAATTTTTGGAAAGCTGCCTTCCGAAATATTGCTAAATTTGGCTGAAGGGATACGTAAGTACAAATTCGCTTCACACTGGAAAGTGAGAATTTCATCTAAACTCAGAATTGTTTGGGTATATAATTTTGATAATGGGAAAACAATGCTGTTTTCATTCTATGTTATAAAAATGTAATAAGTAAATACATATAATAAAATACAAACATTGTAATAAAATTGATAAAATATTCATATACTCGGATAGAAAATAATGGTGATGAGGAAACAAAATTAAAAATGCGCTTTAAAAGGTAAGATCATTGTCTGAAATTCAAACTAATATTAACAACAATTTCACATCGTAACATACGCAACAAAAGTATAAAAACTTCCTGAATCTACTTTATATCGCTCGATTAACTCTGCATTTTAAGAAACTGCATTCAACTACTTTTCATGAGTAAATCCCGAGTATTATCGCAATGAGAATAAATTAAAGTAGAATTCTCTATGTAATTAATTTTGCATTCCTCGTCTCTGGTTTAGGGAGGAAATATACGTATGTTTAAACAATTCTGCGTCGAACGCATATTCTCGTTCAAAAACAGCAGTTGCGAAGTTTGCTTCAAAGAAGGGTGCGAGAAACATTCTTAGTTAGTTTCCAAACGTGGAGATTCGGCAATTGTCCTTCTCTGATCAATTTAAAATGAACAGAATCGTTTTTCCGTATTGTAGATATATCAAATCCAAAATATCAAATGGAAGATGTCCACGAATACGAGCAAAAATGAAGCGTGAGAAGATGATCCAATGAAAATTGTGATCGTGTTATGGAGGTCCAATAGTTCAGATATGTGGATGATTCTAATAGTAACTTGCTCAGTGAAATAATTCAACCAAGAAGCAGGCACGGGAAACAGCTAGGGCTCTTCTCTGATTTTAGCTTCTTCTTTAACTTCCTTCCTTCCGTGTGACCACAAAATCCTATACCGCTTGATGTGATGGCTAATTTGGCATGATAACTATTATAGCAGTCGTTCTGATGAAGTAAAGATGTCGCTATATGTTGGAAAACTTCATTCACACCTGCAAGATTTAAATTTTTCAGTTATCACATTTGATGGGCCATATTGTTTTCTTATCGTGGAATAAACAGAGTATATTTAAATAGAATTCAAAACATACTTTGAGACTTAAATACTGTCAAGTATTGGTATATTTGACCAGCCAACAATTATACATAGTGTTTACTTTAAAATCTGCATATTTTATAGTCATTGTTTCCGATATTCAAATGACTATTTTAAACTATTTTTAAATAGAAAAAAGGTGCTCCAAATTACAGCAAGTTATACGACAATGTGAATGACGAAGCAGCAAACGTTGGTTTGGTTTGGTTTATTTACGAGGGCAATCCCCAAAAAAAGGTCTCCTATTTTTGGGGGACATAGAGAAAGTTTTAATACGGTTGTTTTCAACACTGTTGTGAGTGGTGCCTTCTCCGCTACCACATAAGCACGCAGGCGCTTCTCTCGGATGCTCAGTCTTGGCTTGGCAGCCATTCGAAATGGAGCTCCCAGGTGCGAAGTGCGCGCAGTTATTCAATTTTTGAACGCAAAAGGCGTTAACCGGTTGAAATTCACCGCCTATTGACAGAAGTGTATGGACAGTCGTGCATGGATGTCAAAAACGTTCGCAAGTGGTGTAAAGAGTTTACAGCCAGTCGTACTGAAATTCATGACGAAGAAAGGAGCGGGAGGCTGTCAATTGCCGACGAGACAACTCAACTTTCGCGATTGTTGAGTTCGTATTCGTTGACTTTCGCGGTTGTTGAGTTCGTAAAATGCGTAAAGATCGGAGGATCATCTGGATGCTCCTGAAGCTCCTCAACGCTTCCTGAAGGGCATGGCGGCAAGCTGGTATGACATGGGCATTGTAAAACTGCCACAGCGTCTACAAAAAATGCATCGACCGACCGAATGGCGATTGTGTTGAAAAATAAAGCATTCTGCAATCTTTAAAGTGATGTAGCAATTATAGAAAATAAACGGTTCTTTGTATATCTAAAAATCTAGGAGACCTTTTTTGGGGGGGATTGCCCTCGTAATTATGACAAAGCAGTCGAGAAAATTTGTCTTGTCTTTAATGTCAGATGGTTTATTTCATCTGATTATAGCAAAGCACTCGAGGGCTATCTGCCTAAGCGGAAGAATGCCTTCATAGAGGACATTCTAAGCAAAACTGGCTTGTATACACGTTACACATGGGGAAAATACGAAAGGTGACGACTACTGCGTAATGTTTTGTATTATTTAAAATAAACAACTTTTTATAAAAATATATTAGTCTAATCTAAAAGGAATTCAATTTCTCCGTAATTTATTATAAGCAGCCGCCTCGTCGAGCATAAAAATATGGGTTCAAGTTCTTTAACTGTTTCTGGCATTTAATTGCCGTAGAATAAACATAAAATTTTTGACGAACAATTACTAAAATGGATTTGCCGTATTGCTTTATACCATATAAGAATGGAGTATAATAAAGTAACAATAAAAAAATATAATTAATTAAAATTCTAATATCGAAAGCCATTTAACGGTTTCTGTGTACGTAATCAAGTACATTAAAATGAAAATGCAGGAAGAGATCTAGAATGCTTCATTTTAAGGTACTACAATCACAGAAAATTTTAACTTTGATATCTTCGCAGTAATTCGCAAAGGTATTCATCAGCAGAAGAAAGTTTTGACCAAAATATATCGATAAATGGCATTAGTGCTCTTAAAAAGACTAAAAATCCCGTTCATAGTTTCTTGTGGTAAATGATTGTTTTATTACCCTTCATGATGTGTACCTGTTTGTAAACTACATTCCGTTGAATAATACCTAACAATTTTCAAATGTATAGTAATAACATCTTGTAAATAATTATGACGAAAAATCTGTTACATTCTTAAAATTACAGAATATTTCATAACTCAAAAAATTTATGTCTTGATTTTATTCCTAGTAAAATAGTAAAAGACTTCTCTTCGCAATGACTAAGCCTAATAATTATTTTAGGCTAGACTCTTAGCTTTTTTTTTTTTTTTTTTTTTTTTTTTTTTTACGTTTAGTGTACTGTCTAGGTTTCTGTAGGTTCTTTTCTAGGTTTATTAATTTTTTAGATTAAGCGAGAGTACTACTTCATACCCGCTAGATACATTTTTTAAAAAATATTTTGATGCACTAAAATAGTGTTCACGCATGCAAACGTCACTTAAACTTAAAGAATTCAAAAGCTATCGGACTCTTGGTTGTCTAAATTATTCCAGGTGTGAGAAACATTCACACCAAATATTTGCCTCACATTTAATTCGTTACTTTTCATAAGTTTCCCTAAATAAATATTCATGTACAAAGTTGAGCTAACTGCCTTCACTCATCTTATACTAATTTTTTACCAACGAAAGGTTTGGAAAAAATTTCACCATCTGCAATCAGTCGTAAATGCACGTATTCTTACTAAAATACACTCATGTCCATAAATTAAGGATAATTCGGAGTCAAGCTGAAATCACACTCTAAAATAAATATATGACCTGTAAAATCACTACACACATCTTCAAGAATCATATGCAAATTTCAGGAAGTAACCAGATGACACCGATGGTACGTCACAATGACGAGAGTGTAAGAGAGTGATATATAAGGAATACAGGCAAAGAAATAAAATTGTTCGCAGGCGCTTTATAAGCATTTCAGTGCAATAACCGAATAGTTATGACACAAAGGACGCATTTGGATGATTTTTTTACGTGGTAGAATTATCGGCCGTCTGGAATGTGGGCGTACCCAACTGGAAGTATCAGACGAACTTGGAATTGCCCAGAGTGTCATCTCCAGGCTTTGGCAACGATTCCAAGATGATGGTAATGTGAGTAGATGTTACAGCACAGGTCGCCCCAGAGTTTACAACGCCGAATGAGGACCGGTATTTGGCAGTTACTGCCAAAGAAAACAGGCGGAGCACAGCCTCAGACCTGTCTCGTCAGCTCTCTTCAGCCACTGGTACGACAATTTCAAGGCAGACCGTGTACAAACGCTTAAGGCAGATTGGTCTATCTCTATATGCTCGTAGACCTGTCAGAAGCGTTCCACTTACTGAAACTCACTGTCGCCTGCGGTTAGCCTGGAGTAGAGAGCATGTATTGTGGACACCGCAACAGTGGGCTTGTGTGATGTTTTCCGACGAGTCCAAGTTTAGCTTGCAGTCTGATTCTCGCCGGACTTTCATATGGAGAGCTCCAGGTACCCGTTACCACCAAGAAAACATCATTGAACGACACCGTTACGGAGGTGCAGGAGTGCTCTTTTGGGGTGGAATTATTCTGGGTTCCAGAACTGACCTGCATATTCAAATTGGAACCATGACAAGCCAAATCTATCGGGACGTCATTCTGGAACAACATGTACGCTTGTTTCGGGGCGCCATGGGCGCATAATTTGTGTTTATAGATGACAACTCCCGTCCTCACCGTGCAAACATCGTAAGCGAATGCCTTCAATGGGAGGATATCACCCGTATGGACTGGCCAGCATTCTCACCGGACTTGAATCAAGTAGAGCACGTGTGGGATATGCTTGGCCGACGAGTTGCAGCCCGTCAACCTACTCCTAGATGTCTACCGGAACTTCGGAGAGCATTGCGTTTTGAGTGGTGTAATATCCCCCAAGATAAGATCGATAATTTGATACTCAGCATGCCTAGGCGTTGTACGGACTGTATTGCATCGTCTGGGAGACATACAATGTATTAACAGTCATACCAACCATGTAATATTGTTTTTTTTAATAGGTTTTTTTTTTGTAATTTTCTCCAGGGAGAAAAAATCGCTAATTTTTTTAATAATATCAAGCATATAGCAACCTTTTTTGCTCTTTACCTTTTGTTTAATAAATAAGCTTTACAAATAAGTCAAATTTGTTTTGCTCCTAACTCTTCCTTTGCCTGATTTTGCACTATCCTTAATTTATGGACATAAGTGTAGTTAAAACTTATAGACCACTTACTGCTCTCTAATTCCCTTATCTCAGTGATCTCAGACTAAAATTGCATGAGGGCCTAATGTACGATCTGAAAAAAAATTAACAGGCCGATTTTTTTAAACAAAATGAGAAGTGATTTAACCAAGATAAATGTTTTAACTGAATGTTAAATTCTATATACTAAATATTTATCGATACATACATAAATGGTCATAATAATCACACAAGGAAAAGTTTCAAATTATGTAAATTTTCTGTCTGACTTCTAAAGGATGGAGTCTGGACGAAATTTCTCCAGATTATACTTAAGAATTCAAACCTGCTAAAAACAAATATAAAATTTTGATCTGGTATTTATTTCAAATGATTCTAATATGTTGAATTAATCATTAAATAACTTACTGTAAATTTAAACTAAAAAAAAATAAATTACGAAAACTCAAATGAGTCAAAACTTGAGATTAAGTAAAGACAACTTTCTTTTCTTTTCTTTTATCTTTCTTTTTGTTTATCAAATTTTTCTTCAATGCATAAATAAAAAATATATATTGTTACGAACACTGTAGACAGATACATGATTTTAGTGCAATTAATATGTGAAATTGCTATTTTTCTGTGTAATGTAATTAAAAAAAGTCTAGAGAGCCAAAGCAAGAGTACAGGAGCAAGTCTATTTATCATTGAATAAATGGATAGCTCGGTAACTTGGCGAGATATTGCCAAGCTGGCAAGTGTTTTAGCGACTTTGTCGCCACATTTGGCAATAAATCTCCATAATTCGCCAAACTTGGCGACAATTTGGCGACATTTTGGTTTGGTCCCTATATCACCCTAATAGGTATTGTAATTGAATAAATCTTTGTAATGTAAAATCACTATATTAGTTGTAACAATAATTCAATCCTCATATTGCCTTCCAGTAATGTCGAGAAGCAGAAAGTACTGGAAATATCTTGGCGGCAAGGTGAGAACCATATAAGACCGAAGAGAGCATCTACTCTCAATTGTTCTTGTTGTTGCGAGTTGTTAGTTCAATGTGAGTTCGGACTATAGCTTTC